ATGACGTACTGGTCGTCTGGGTATGTATTTGGGATGGCAGCTCGACCTGTTCTGCGACGAGTTTTCTTCACAGAACCAAGTGAGGCATGGAGAAAGCGTCGAGACAGTCGACAGTTGACCCAGCACTTAAACACAAAGGTCATCACGGTTCAGCAGTTCTCTGTCGACTCAGTTAGACTCACCGCTTGGGTCCGAAAGACAATGACTGAACTTGGCTAGAAACGTTGACGGAAGTGGTTGGGAATCGCGCCTATTACTATACAAGGAAAGAAAATCATGTACGTAATGCGGCTTGGTTTGAGAGGATGGTTGGATCGGCTGTGCTCACGACCTAGTGGAGTATCACAACTGTACTCAGTACGTTTGGAATAATAGGTTGCAGCTGTACTAGTCTGAACGAATTGCGCGCCTGCATCACAATTTGAGGCGATTTCTCAATCCACGGAGACTCACAACTTTCTATCGTCGTTCAGAATAGGAGCTTGTGATATCCCCGCCGCTGACGAACACTCAAACACGGACGCTTACTCAGCTACCTATTGTGTGTGATCTCGACAGTCAGATGTACCTGGTTTCAAACTAAAACTATGGGCGACTACTGTGTGTCGGCCGTAAACTTTAGTTATGGTAGGCGGTGTCGCAGAGCAGTTATGGTACTCTGATGGGCCGCACTAATTAATTCGCACATCAACGGTGACAATTTGACGAGCTCATTAGTGATTGGAGGTCCTCCCTAGTCAATGGTTGGGTGTGGTTCATGTCGCGACCTTGTCGCTTACTTTACTCAATCATGCTCGTTCAGTATCCGAATTCAGAACCCTAGGCATTCCAAGAATCGGATTGGCAAAATAGTGAACAATCAGCTGATCCAGGGTTCCATGTTGTCTCTAGTATTTCTCAAATGATCCGTTCCATCTTCTGCTGAATCCTTGGAGTCGGTTCACTGGTCTCACATCCAGCTTCATGACTTATTCTAGCAGACTTACAAAACATGCTATTTTTGCTCTGTAGGAATACAGTATGACCGAATTTACCAATAAAGCCAGTCGCACGCGCAATAAATGCCTAAAACGTGCTTCACTTCCTGCTATTCTCTGGGGTGATCTCATTGCTTTCACTATGAAATCATATGAGTTAGCAGTTGGTATACTACATGCACCAGACATCAAAGCCGGTAAAATTCATGCAAAATGTCAGATGCGTAGTGCAGTCTGTCTGTCCCTTGAAGGGAGTGCCCTAGGTTTATAATGGCTGATAGACCTTTCCTTTTTAGGTTATTCACCTATTTGCTCATTTCCCCGGTATATCACTATGATAACCTCCGAATGAACTTCTTCAGTGAAGGGTTTAACAGCAGCCTAGTTCAGTCACAACCTCAGATTCTCACTATACACATACTACACACATGTATGTACTGTATAGTTTTTACTACGCTAGATCATAACACAATAATCTTCGTTCGCACTTCTCAAGCCCTTCAGAAGTATACAACTTTGATCTCTGTGTATACAGGTATCTCTTTGTCGCGTTTTGTCATGAACACCCTTCACGTCATTTTGGCGGGAGGTCACCACTATTTTGTCACGAAATATCGCCTGATGTTGATGTAAAGAATATGTTTTCAACTCTCAGTCGATGCCTTTATGTGGGTGAGACCCATACTCGAACGGCTCCATAGCACGCCACAAGCCAGATGTTATTTTAGAAGCCGCTTTGGTGATTTCACCGAGTAGGAGGCATGCATTGGATAGCACCCTATCCTCACTTATGCTTGTTTTTTTTGGCGCTAGAAGTCAGTCGCATTTTTTCTTCACTTTCATGTCCAAAGGAACTGTTTTCACCTTTTTTTATCGCAGTGGTTTGATGTAGAAAGAACTTTCAGAAAGCCTGTGCAAAATCCCGGTATTTTTGACTAAACTATAGCTTCATGCTGGTGACCGGAAAGTGATATCTCTTCAACGACCTTAGTATGGCGATGGAGCAGTATACGCTTGGAGAATAGTGGAACGAGGATAGAGACGATCTTCCTGAATGCAATTATAGTTTAGCTACAGTACAGATACGTGCTCACACGATAGTGCTAATAGACGTGAAGACCTAGGACATGAGGAACGACAACCGTTTGTGGACAATAATGCTGGTTCTCTATCCCCTGAAGATCTCGCTGGCTGCAGTTTCTGACCCGGATGAATCACTTCAACCTTTAGGTGGGCAGACAGGTCTCACCGCTCCTGAGTTGTATCCCCCATTGTGAAAGAACTTGAGATGGGGCTTTTTGATTTCGTTTGCAGAGTTTGTATTCTTAGGACGCGCCATTGCACCTTTTCCGTCATTTCCCCCAAATGATGGTAAGGCTTTTTTGCCACTAGATGATTGTGTATAGGGTTTTGATATTTTAAGCAATATTTTCATTCTTAGTCATAGGGTTTTCGTTATGGATAGCCCTAGTCTGAAAGGGACGTAGGAGAAACGAAGGCACAGTACAGCAACAAACCCCTCATGGATGATTTGGCAGAAAAGTCGCGCGAAATTTCGGACAAGTACATCAACAGCTAAGCGGACCCTACTGTGAAAGTTGAGTTCTACCAACGTCTTCTCACTTTTTTGCACATACCGTTTAGCCAAATCATGCCCTGTCTGCGTCTAAAACTGGCAACTGTGATTCAAAATTTGCGTGGACTTCATCTTCGTCCCATTGTTGATCATCCTCGAATTCGAAGCATTTTGTAAACCCATTTGACAGTCTAGATTGACTTTGAGCACGACATGCTTCGTGCCCTATATCCATTTGCGTGTGGATCTATCCTCGTTTCCCTATATTTCAAGGATGATATAATCTTTCTAAATTGGCGTGACAATTCTTTTAACACACCGACCACTCCCGTAAGGGATTCGCAACACCGTCCCTCGCTAACCACGATTCATTGAGCGGTTCCCTTCAGGACAGACAAACGGTCTCATTTTCCCGTGGCAGCATCTACCGATGCCTATGTTACTGCATTATGATTACTTCAAGCAAATATGCTCGTTTCCTTCCTCATGAACTCCTCAGCTATCCCGTACATACTGCTTTGTCCAGAAAATTTCACCTCTCCCACATGTTACGTATATTGGAAGTTGTATTAGTTCCGATTATTGTGTGACAGGTGAAGGAAACGCATGAATCTCCAAGGCTCTGGTCGAGTTAGATGATTTGAGACAACTATGGTGTCAAATCGGTGTATCCCTGAATCTCAAGGGACGTGTGCATGAGGCCATAGTAGGGGCAGTTTTGTTGTATGGCTGTAAAACTTTGACTATTCGAGCAGCGGAACTGAGGCATCTTCAACTCTTTGATAACCGTTGTCTCAGAACCATAGCTTGGAACCATCTTGGAACCATAGTCCAGCACCAGAAGCTGGTTTGGTTAGGCCATGTATTGCGCGTGCCAAACGATCGTTTGCCGAAGTGAGTGCTGTCCTCTGTGTCCGATTCACAGTGGAGTGAGCAGAGAGGTGGCCAAACTTTTAACTGACAGCGGGTATGAAGTAGGTTACGAGACGTCTGGGTGCTGTTGTGCTAATCGCCTTTCATTATGGGGACCACGTGGTCTCCATTGCACTTGGTTGGACATGCTGCAAGATTTGGCTGCTAATCAATGTATGTCACTGGCGTTCTTCTTGTCAGTTTCTGTCCTGATCGCCTGAATAGGTGTCTGGATGTGTGGGCACTTCGGAATGATTGTGGTAGACCAATTGTAAGTCCTTTTTCCATCCACTTTTAATCCTTTATTCTCAATAATGCTTTCAAAGAAATCGTGGTTGTCTGGTAGCATAGCATTATCTTTGTACGCTGATCTTATGTTGTCGATGATGACGATGTGTTCAAAGTCCACTTTTTTATATCCGGATGCGCATGGGTGCTTAGATGCAACATGTACCCATACACTACGTAATTTAGTAAATTAATAACCCATTAACGCTGCCCTCAATGATCTTATATTTTTTCAATCTTTACTATGGTTTCGACTAGCTACCATGCCCAAGAATTGTAACACCCTTTTTTCTCGGTTTCGTTCCCTGCGCTGTTCAAAATTCATTCTATCTTCACTTCTTGACTTGATTTTATATAAACACTGAGTGATGTTCATGTTGCTTGTCCTCTTGTTTTACGCTTCAGCGGAATTTATTTTTGTGCCTACCACAAAGGTCAGGTGCTTTTCGAAAGCCGTTTTTCCGACGGTTCTTCTGGAGTCTTTCTATGTGCAGCCGGATTTGGAAGTGAGTTCTATACGTGTTTGCTGCTTATTATGGGCTCCACAAACCATATTCTTGTTTATCTTTAGTTGGTGTTGTGTTCAAACAATTGGAAAAAGGTTGGAACCGATTACGAAGTCATCGTTTCAGCAGGGCTTGGTAAACAATCGGTCTTTTTTGCCTCGGGACCAGGTATATTTGGACGCGATGCGGCTTTTACATTTCTGATGAAGACTGGTGCTTAGAATGAACATTGGATGATATACATATTGGATGATTCAGACGATCAAGGTGGAGCTGTGGACGTGTCTAGCTAAGTCTACTAATATTTCAAACGACGGCTTTTTACTAGATTCCAGCGATTACTAGTGGTGTGTTAATGCCCTTTCGAGTTGTAATGCAGTCGCTGATTGGCGAGAAGCAGCACATTGTGAAGATGAAAAGAACGCGTCTCTATGTAAGGCGGTACTTTGGAAAAGAATTTCGTTTCTTCAAAATTTTGCTCGAATTCTAGTTGAATAGGTGCGATCTCGTCGTTTTTGGTCCAACAACCAAGTATCCGAGTTGCAACATCAGTCACTTTTACTATTCTCTGCCGACATGCTTCCTGGAAATATAAGGATCAGTCGTGTGTATTTTCAACTGAGATTTCATCCTGAAGGAGCTGCATTATTTATGTGGCTCCTCGAAGTGCTCTCCAGCAAAACGTGGTGTCCGCAAGCACGTCCACTCCATATCTAGTGGATAGTTCTACAAGGAATATGAGTGCTGTTGGTGCTGTTCGCCTTCAAGGAAAGGTCTGCATGACACCGGTGCTTTGACCATCGATGTCTTCGGAGCATTGCCCGAATCTGGTAGGAACACCGGATCGGCAATGCTGAAGTAGGTCGCAGGTGTTCGGAAGAAATAACTTACCCTCGATGGATGAGCTGATCACACTGCATAGGTTGCGCTGGTTTGGTCACGTGCTGCGTATGCCAGTCGGCCGGCTTCCTCGAAGGGTTCTTTCCGCGTGAAAGGTGGAAACGAGCCAGAGGTGGTCAAGCAATGACTTGGCAGCGACGTATAAAAACCATTACCAGCAAACTCAGCTGCGCTCGTCATTTCCGTCTACCTGGATGGGGACCCCGAGACACATTGTCAGACATGGCCTAATCGCGTCCTCAATGGCACTCATGCATCCAAGCTATCGCCTTCAGTGCATAGCTCCCTTCCCATTTCCCCCACTTAGCAGGCCACTGACAGTGTTGTATTTACGCACTAATTTATCAGCTCCCGCCTCCAATGCGCAGCTACTCAACTCACCTTGAATCATCTGTGAACGAAATTGTGGCAGCTACATCCACTGTACGACATGTATGCGGTTCTTACAGCTTACAATGATGATGACCCCCTTATAAGGGGCCGCACTTTGGTATCCTCTTAAGCTTTTTTACCGGTTATTTTTCCCTAGGAAGATCACTTCCACGTCCACGGAATATCACCTGCATAGTACTTTCCAGTTACCTAACGTTCAGGATTACTGTTGACTTTGTGAATCCTCTCTCGCACTTGATTAATGCGACGTAAGACTGATTGCGTGTACACAGCTGCTTGAAGTAACAAGTGACCCTCCGATCATAGCAGTGTCATGCTTCAGATTAATGAACTGTTGACACTCAGTGGTGAGGCTTTGGAACGTCATTTCCGAATCTGTTAAGCAGCCTGGTTTTGATGTCAGCATCTTAGAACGACTGGTGATCGGATATTACACTTAGGCACTTAAACTGATTCTCCGTCTTTGATCTGAGCGCTCGTATTCTCTGTTGAGCACACAGGCATGGATGATGAAATCTTCAGTGTCCCTTTTGGTAATCTTGAGACACTGATAACGAATATTGAACAAGGAACTTTGTTCATCGAATATTTGGGCCAGAATCTTGACAGTATCTGGGAAGCTAAAGTCACAAGGGAGTTTTAGGAGTATGAAATTTGGGATTCAATCATGTTCAACTGTTCCCAGTTTCCGCAGTAACAGTCGAACTTTCGGTGCCTCATCAAACTGAAGCACGACACGGCTATGATCGGCCAGTCACCTGTTACTTCAAGCAGCTGTATAAACGCACTCAACCCCTGCGTCCACCTGGACACCATTCCCCATATCCTCGGATTAGAATCTGGCCTCTGTATAGTTTTTTGGAATCTCTTCTGCCGGTCCCCCTCTTCTTGACTTTCCGAATAGCAGTGGTACGATCCGCATGAACCTGGGACTGTAGATTAAATGGTTCGGGCCGTGATGGTAACGTTGCAGGCTGCTAACAGGACTCGCCAAAATGGTCTGAAGCGAGAGGGGCCGGGCGTCGGGGGTTGGTGACCACTGCGTCCCCGGTTTTGGGCGTTAATATACCTTGTGCACCTTTGGTGGTTGACGGGAACACTAGCTTGGGAGATTCAGACCGAGAACTAAGCTGAGGAAAATACCGTTATTTCGAAGATAACATCGCAAATGAATCCCGGTGTCATAGGCATACCAGCGTGGGTCTTAAATTGCGAGTGAATGTTATCGGCAGCTTTTGACAACAATTATGTGTGATACGCGAATGTGCTAAAGAACTACACAGTCACGTACTTCCTGGGATGCATTTTTTGGACGAGCTGTCGAGTGTCCCAGCGTCGTAGCTCCTCAACCAAATCGAGATTTCCGGTAGATGAGCACTCTTTCGTGATTGTGGATCCTTACTTTCTATTGGGATATTAAATTCACGTCTTTCGGTCTCGTCTTCTGCATAACAGCTGGCTTACAACCCGGCGGAAGCACAGGAGCTAAATTTCTGGGTTAGAAGAACTGAAAACTCACTGACGGATTCAAATCACAGACGTTTCTGTTAAGAATAACGTATATTCTTTATTTGTCAACCTTTTATAGATGATTTATTTCATGTTGACTGCGCCCTCCAAGAGGATAAGTTGACCGCAAAATACTGCCTTGAAGTATATCCCAAAGTATATTGTTAGTTGTAATGATAACCCCATTGCTTTTTCACAACTGTCTGCGCCCTGAAATAAAACCACGAGCAATGTGGATAGACATTGGTCGGAATAGCCCTGATGACTTTCGAACCAGGACCCCCGTTTACGTGCAACCCCCAGTTAGTGTAGCCAACTTCATCAAGCTCTACGCAGTGGTGCAGCCGCTATTCACTTTGAAACGGCCACCTGGAACCATAGATGTGCTTTGAGGATGAAGATGGGACAGAGGGCACATCAACCGTTCCAGGTGTAGATGCGATTCGCATGTGGGGTTTGTCCCCTTATGACACGCTGTGTCGGCGCTCTGCAGACGTCTTAACAGTAGGAGCGTCAATGAAATCAGGCCAACAGGTATTGCATGGTTCACAAAAATGCTTTTGTTGATCGATTCACAGTATGACCAAACTCGGCTGTTGTTCGTATACACGGAAGCGTACGCCACACCTTTTCGTAGAGTTGGTCACTTTTATGCAGACTTCGAACCACCATCAGTCATTTCTGTATCCATGTGCTTTGAATCCTGTTGACGATAGTCCCCGCTCTATTTGAATGATACTTGATCGTCTTCCATGCCAGACTCTATTCTCGAAAGAGCAATCCGATTGTACTTCCACTTAGACCCGCGCTCACACATTTGACTCAAGGATGAATGCTAGTCTGGTCGTACTAACACTGCCATTCCACCATATGATCACATGTATCAACTGGTATTTGAACATTGATGGAACGACATGTAACACGCAATGGATAAGATTGACAAAGCATGTGAATTGTATGTACCAAGCTTGTTACTTCCATGTAACGTTAACTTTGTAATTGGCTGTTTCACATCATCTGGGCGAGGTCGTTGGCCACTGGTTCTTTCACATGTTTACCTCGATTGTTTTCTATCCAATGATAGTACATCGAGGAACTTCTTCCGAATACTGCCGATGTTTGTCTTGAAATACGAGGCGGATAATCTCCACCTTGGTAGAACTATTTGAATCGTTCTTGATGGTTATTCATGACTCCGTTCAGAACCTGCCTGTCTGTTTTATCTGATAGTGGAAGCAATGGGCTCCTCTTTGAAAAAAGGATAAACTCAGACTGGTACGCTCTTAAGAGACGGGCAAATTTTGTCGAGTAATAGGCTTTGCTTATCCAGTCAGATAGTCTCTTAGTTTTCTATAGAGGAAACCCACCGCTACGCACTACTACGCTCCACTATAACGCACTGATGATGTCACCTCGATTGGTGATGAAACGTTTGCAATCAAACTGCCCAGCTCAGCGAACAAGCCAACGACCACCAGTCTCCTAGTTATTGGTTCGCCGGCGATAACTACACTTATTAGTGACGTGTATTAAACTGGCCCCAGAAGGCTTTGTACGCAGCTTTTAACAGGAATTCCACCCGCATCTCAGTCATCACTGTACTTGGCTTGCACATTATTTGTACTATAATGGACCTGGAGAAACAAGTCGGCACTGAGTTTATTGTCCCATCTACTTCCTACGATAAACACCCTTGCTTACCGAGCCGTCTCTATCTTCCTCTCCCTTGACTTTCACGTCTAAGGTCAGTGTGTTTCCAACATGAACCAGATGTTGGAATAGGCTCGGTTGATATTTTTAAGGGCGTGTCTCGCATGTGCGTTCGAACTATCAGCCAGGATGTCGCGGGTTCGAAAGTCCTTACCGGGGTTTCATGAGATGCGCATTGCTCGTTATTCCCAACAAGTCAGAAACGGATTCTAGGTTTTTCCGCATAGACTGACTTCATTTACAGGACGAAATCTCAGTTGAAAATTTCACGTCTGACGATCCTTGCAACCTTGGACTCAGCGACCGCAAACCGGTTGTAGTTTTCAAACTAGGCCATGTACGTTGATACGAAATCAACTTCGGGTGCGGTCGGATCGCAACTCTGAAAATTAAAAGAGTTCATCTAGTTCTTCACCTCACGTCTTGGTTTGCCGAAACTACTGCCGACAGCTGCAGTAACGACTGGAGAATGTGAGGATGTTAACGAAAAACCTATGTGCTATTTGTATGTCTAGCGTAGCGATATGGAAGCCGCGTGTTCCTACTGCTCTCGACTACAACCACCTGCTTGATGTGGTCTTGTTGCGGACCGTCTCTATCCGAACTGTATTATTGGGTTTAAGGGTTTTGGCTAAGTATATTTTCGGCCTTTTTAGACGAAAATGTGCACAGCGGGTTGCTGTTTAAAATGAGAATCCCAACGCTGCGCACGCTGAATCATGTGTAGTCTTTTGACATGACAGAATACATACTGTCCTGTTGGCGATGTGTTCTCCCTACCAATAAACGACCGGGTCCTCCTATCTCTTTTTGATTAACTCCCAACAACAAACCTTTCAAGAGTGAACACTTTAGGAAACGAACCAAATCACCTTGCATCCTTTCCTTTCACCACTCAAGATCCATACGACGTACGGTTTCTCAGAGGGGCGAACGGCCTACTCACCTAAGTAATCCTCGTGTTTTTGGTAATTCCCCAGTGATAACGGTGGTGAGTTAGGCATTTTGCTGACAGACATTCGGTGAGGAATGTCGTACAGGGAATCGGTGACCCTCGCGACGTAGGGTGTATGAGCTTTCATATGGGGGATACTATCTGCAGCTTGTAGACCTGTCGTTCTCCGTGAAATTACTCACCCTTCGCTCATCAGCTTCCACACGTGATTGTAAGAAGCTTTTCGGATGCGGTAAGTGTGCGAAGATTCGATACGTCAACATCGCTTCGACGGGTACGCGAAACTTGTTGTAGGTGGACAGAGGATCCTAACTACTTGACAGCTGTCAACAGTGAGTATGTGGAGTCAGTTTTGAGGTGATCTCAATACAATTAGTTTTCAGTGCCTCACACTTCGCCCGAATGTTACTTCAGGGAGGGAATGAGTACAGCCATCAACGAAAACTGTGTGGCGCTCAGGCTTTCAGTTGGGTCATATTACGAAGAAAATGCTGGCTTTGGCTAAAATCTGTGCGACAGGTTGTCGTCGATTCTCACGTGTGGTGTTACACCTCTTTCAACATTGATGGCGGTAAATGTTGAAGAGAAAAATTTGCCTGTTACAAGTCCGCTGTAGAGCAAGGATAAATGTGGATCTGTCTGGAGGACAAACAATCCATAGTGGTTTCGACTAAATCCCCTGGTGCACAGTACCATACTGTGCACCATTCTCATGTCCCATCTGCCTCATTCTGTATCTGTGTTGCTAGCCCCACTGTGACCCAACTAGCTACTTTCTCGTCTCTTTTCCTTTTTTTTACCCATCGACCTGTTTTCCTACTTCAGGTATTACAGCATCCTCATTGACCAACCCTATATGGTATGTGAAGACTCGGCTACAGCTCGACTCTCGGTAAGGCACGATTAGCTAGCTAGCCTAGTTTTCCCTACGTCTTGTGTTTCCGCTTCCACTGTACAATACTTTGCGGCTTGTAAACATGGACCAACTAATAGCATTTCAGTCCCCGGAAAATTTTTGCGTATCGGTCGCTCGCCGAAACAGGCTGAACGCACCCTTTGCACTGGACTGTCGCTGACATCTTGACCTTTCACAGGGATGCAATGAGAACAGACCATAAACTGGAGTATCAGTTGTTAGTTCAGGTGTTCATCTGCGTTGCCATTGAATTCACGTGATTTTGGACACGCACAACAAACAAGATCGATTGGTTATGGGGCATGTTGCCGGCACGATAGGTGCTTCGTGGTAACTACTTGGGCTTTTGTTGTGTAGCCATGGCGGACCTGCACATAGGGCGTCATTTGTTGGTAGATCTTGGAATGGTGTAATTTTCGCGTAAAAATACTAGATCATGTGATACTGTTCGGTTGGTTTGGTTTTTGAATAGCAACTGACCGACATCTGGTTATATGCCCCTACTGAACTTCTTTTGCAATGTTGCCACTTCTAAATTACGCTCATTGAGACGCTCAGGCCTGCACATCTTTCTCATCCTACCTATCTACTGCCTTATATTAGAACCAACCTTGTCGTACAGCGTAACGTGAGGCTAATTTTCGAACAACGTTAAGAACTGAGCTGGAGATTTGGCAACCTAACTTATCGGATGAGTGCCTCGTACCTGTCAGGTTAAACGTAGTCCTTTTTTGGTCTTCTTCTCCCAGTTTATCTCTCCTGATCACTCACTTGCAGAGACTTTCCGTTCTTGAAAATTCCCTACTTCTATTGATCTGCTTGTAGCACGTCGAGAACGCAAATTCATTTCCAGTTAATACGAGCTGACCAATCTCTTTAGAGCAAAGATTTTCATCTAACAATCAGCCATATGACTGAGATGGTCCAAGTGGTTAGAGCGCGAATTTACTGACCGGAAGGTCCGTGGTTCGAACCCGGCCTCGGCCTCTCGACTTTCCCCGAATAGGCTTGGACAACCTGGCAGTATCCCAGCCCTCATGCTTCCTTCTGGCGGCATGGCAGTTGGCCACCGAAAAGGTGCTACAGCTGAACGATTTTTAAAAATTTTTTCAGCCATGTGGGTACGATCTAAATGTGGTGGAGATATGTGATGATGAGACATCGAAGATGGGTTACCTCAGTTTGGAAACTCTCCTGTGTCTACAAGTGACTTGTACACGGATAGAGGCAGCGAGACGGGACACAACTGAAAACACTGAGAGACGCTGTAGTCAGTGTACCACCTGGCGTTCATGCACCCGAGCTGTTACTCTGAACGCTGCTCGCTTTACTGCTCAAATCCATAGCAATGTATACCTGTACTCACAACAAGATTGCTCTTTGAATTGCGATCCAGAAATGTTTGTTATTCAAATCTGTTCCTTGTCGTGGTGGTCGAACTTCTGTGCTGCAATGATCGTGCGGGATATAGTGGCTGGAACTCAGTTCCTAAAGGTTCAACCATGGCAGGAAAGCTGACGTGAAGTAACCTGATAAGGAACAGCGGGTTGCCGTACCACGGGAAATCATATTACAAGGCCGTCTGGAGGTAGAATTTTGCTTTCATCTGTGATAGAGCTGTGAAGAAAGTAAGGCGCTTTCCCCAGACGACCAGATGTCCCTGTTTATGAAGGTAGCAATGCTGCCTTAGAAATGACTTACAAGTAGTCGGCCCTGAAAACCACATATTGATCGTCCAACGGTCGACCGTGACCGCTGGCGCATTATTTCATACGGTCGAAATACTTAAAACGAATGATTTCGGTGCTGCTCAGAGGGTGTCTGTTGTGTGTAGGTAGTTTAAGAGTGAGACCTGCCTGCCTCCCCAGGCCAGAACTGCCCCTACAGCCAAGTAGGTCAGACTGTTGGGTCACTGGCTCTTAACCACATTGTAGCCTTCAGTGTACATACTGTGTGTCGAATTGAGAAACTGGCATCTATTTCTGTAGCCTTGCTTTCCTTATCTGTCGATCTATGTTGTCCCTGAAACATACGTACAAGACTCCACCTTGGTCGTGCACCTCAAGCCGCTTAACATGAGCTCCAATGTTTGGGTATCTGAATTTTCTGATGCAATACCTCCTGATAGCTACCCTAAGCCCCAAGGCTGAAGGCGCTTCATTTGACTGGATCCCATTAAACAGTCGTCCTTACACTGTTTGGTCTAGCTCAATTAAAATCAATGTAGGCCGATGCAGTAAATGGTCTTTTTTTTATCGTGTCGGCGTATGCCTCGACAAGATGGCTTATTTGTTAGCGCGAATTTACTGACCGGAAGGTCTGTGGTTCAAACCCGGTCTCTGCCTCTCGACTTCCCCTGTCTAGGCTTGGGCAACCTGGCACTATTCCAGCCCTCGTGCTTCCTTCTAGTGGCATGGCAGCTAGGCGCCGAAAGGGTGTTACAGCTAAACTATTTTTATTTATTTTTAGTATGTCTCGACGACTGCAGTTCTGAGACTGATAATCAACAGCTGGTGTATTTCGAGGGCTCAGGAGATGGAAAAAGGTTTCGTCGCACCCAACAGGTGCGCCCTGTTCCAGCTGATTCGATCAACCAGTCAGAAAAAGTTAAGTGTCAGCGAGAGGATATGCGAAAACGACGAAACGGCAGTTCACCCCCTCAATCGTCTTCTTGAGCGATGAGCTGAGCACTTCAAAGGACAGTTCAGCTAGTCTCCATCAACATAACTGCTAGATGAACCCAGAGGGCCTGTGTGGAACATCGACACCAGCACACCGTCAACAAGGGTGTGAGATATGACGCCTTCAACGTGACAAGGCATCTGGCCCAGATTGTCTGCACCTCGCACTTTCCAAAGAAGGTGGCGAGTTCCTGGTGAATAGTCTGACGACTACGCCACAGAAAATCTGGGACGAAAGCAGGATACAATGGAATGGAGCTTCTCAACCCTCATCCCAGTCTTTAAAAAGGACACAAGATAGTCATACGAAGATCATTGTGGCATCAGCCTGGTATCCGTCGCATCTAAGTGTACAGGTTACTCGACTGTGGGGAGAGAAAAATCGGTGGGAATCAAGCTAGTTTTCACCCAGAGGATGCATCGACCGTATCTCACATTGAGACAAGTTCTTGAGCAGCGCCATTCCTCTAAGTGTCCCGGGCTGGTCGCTTTTCTTGATCCGAGATCTGTATTTGATTCTGCCGATCGTCAGAAACTTCGGCAGTGTCTCACCGTCAAAAATGCTCCTCTCCAGTATGTATCCCTTAAGCGAATCCCCGTGGACGCGTACGAGCATACGATAAGTCTTCGCCCGGGTGCGTCACATCCAGTGGTGTAACAGAGAGCTGCCCTCTCTCGCTTTTCCTCTTCAACTTTGTTACTGATGTGTTTGAATTTTCTGTCTGCCTTCGAATCCTGAAGTCTGAACGGGAAATCTCCCACTGCAGACAGTCTGGTCACCATCCACAGACTACCTACCCCGCTTATCTGAGTCGGGAGTCGAAATGCTCCCGAGATCTTCACTCACAGCCTTTGAGCATGCAAATGATATTGCTGTCCTTAGTTCAGACACTTCAAAAATGCAAACCATTTAAAATAACAAATAACTATGCCGCACGGTTTGGCATGCTCTTCACACGCGCAAAGTGTAAAGTGCTGCTATAAGACTGGATGGGCTCAAATCCAAACCTCATGCTTGCAGGCGAGCCAATCGACGTGGTGGATAGATTTGTTTACCTCGACAGCTGTTAGGCAGGAATCCACGCTATACCGCACGTCTTTAGGCGCTGCTACGGCCGAGAAGCCTGGCCCGCTCGAGGTTGGCCCAGAATTCGGGACGCTTGCCGGTCCGGCATCAAGACGAGATCTGATTGGTCAACAATCTGGACCCAACAGCCAATGATGACCCAGTATTGGCCAAATGCCGATTGCCAATCGCGCATCCAGAACGCGTCAGAAATTCCAGAAGTTATAACCGCTTACTCTATATATACGAGGTGCTGTACAACTGTTCTTGACTTCGTTTTGGGCATTAATAGACCTTGTGCACCGTTGGTGGTTGTTTTGGCGTGAACGCTAGCTTGGGAGGCTCAGACCGAGAACTAAGCTGAGGAAAGTACCATTCCTACAGCAGCTGTATAGGTTCTGGTGGACTGGTTGCAGATGGGATTATTTCTCGAATCGGAAAGGCCAGGGCAGCTTTCGCCAACCTCCGACACGTATGGTGCCGACGTGACGTCAGCTCGTCTGTCAAGGGAAGAGTTTACACTACGGTGGTGCGACCCATACTGCTTTATGTATCAGAGACGTGGCCTCTCCGCCCAGAAGGTGTCAGCAATTGACCATCGGTGTCTTCGAAGCATTGTTTAGGTCTGGTGGGAACATCAGATTAGTAGTGCTGAGGTGCGCCAGATGGTCATAGGAAGAAGGAACTCTCCCGCGATAGATGAATTACTTATGATGCATAGGTTACGCTGGTGAGGTCATTTACTCTGCATGCCAGAAGACTGTGTGACTTGCAGAGCTCTTTTCGCCCAGCCTTCTCTAGGTGGGGACCCCTAGACTCAACTCACCAATGGTTGGTGACACTGACAGAAATGGCCCAATCGCGCAGTCAGTGGTGCTCATGCGTCAAAGCCACCGCCTTCAGTGCGTAGCTACCCTGTTGCCGAACTAACCAAACATGCCCTCGCCTCCAGAGTTTGATTGTTTTCTCACACTCTCCCACTTTCCGGTGATCGAATCTGTAATAGCTAGAACCAACGTACCCATGGTGCATGGTTTATAACTGATTAACTGAATTGAGTTGTTTGTTATCCAGCGTCTCACCATCGATATCCTTGAGGATCAGAACCATGTAACCAAATACATTGTATAACGTTTAGATCGTTTGCGCTGATAATTTTCTCCGACTGTGGCGATTCTCAACATTTTTCTGTGGTCAACAAGATCTTCCGGATAATTCAAAAGTCTAGATGGGGGCTTTGTTAATCGAAGCAATTTCTGTCTAATAGACGATAATATTTCGCCATTTTAGCAAGCTTCCATCAATTGTCGTCTGTCCACTTTTCTCATAGACCCGGTTTGACCCCGATCACTGTGGGACAAGTAATTCGAAACACTTGGCAGCAAGAAGGAATTCGTGGTTTCTACCGAGGAGTCAGCGCATCCTATGTTGGTTCCTTGGAGACGGCCCTGAATTTTGTCATCTATGAAAACGTAAAGTCTGAATTGCTGTGGTGGGATTTGCAACGTCGGACACAACAGCAGCGACAGCAACATCCACATTTCTCTCTGGCCAGCACATCTACCTACACAACTGGAACGTCGCGTGATCTGCGCGGCTCGCGTGGTGGAAGCAAATTGAATGCCTCCAGTGATATGCTTCTTTGCATGATGGCCAGTGCGTTTTCCAAAGCTGTTGCAATCACTGTCCTCTATCCACATGGTAGGTGTTACTTTTCGTTTCGTCCTGTCACAGGGCCACCAGTTTGTACCCATCCGTTCGCGTTGTGTTTTGGCATGTTCTTCAGTTTCTCTTTGGATATAGTTACCTGAAACTAAACTCATCTGCCGTAGCCATTTGTTCTCACTGTCTGCGTTTGTATGAACAGTCTTAAATTTGAATTCTAAATTCCAACTAGCTCTTCAAGCCCAGAGCCAGCCAATCTTCTGTAGGAAGTAATTTCATCACGATTTTCGATCACTGATGCAAAGCACTTCAAGTTACTTTCTGATAACATTAATAACCTTTCAGCCGTAGCACGCCTTCGATACCCAGCTTCCATTCTCTCCGAGGCAAACGCGAAACCTTAGATACCCTCAGGTTACCCAAGCCCACACAAGAACAGTCAACATGCCGGGGTTGGATTCGAACCACTAACCTTCCGGCCAGTAGGTTCATGCCTTAACCACAGCTATCTCGATGTCGCATGTAGCGTACCATTTAACGTATTTACTTTGATCAGATGACAATTCGTATGTTCCTAGAGATAATAGCGTTTGTCGTGCCGAATGAACCACACAGTGTGCAACCTACCAGATAAGCACAATAAATAATTGGTGTTTTCAAGTTCTCGGGCTATTTTAACTAGGCTTTGCAGTAGATGAAGCGCCCACAGCACGGATAAGTCGTGGGCTATGTAGGGGTTCTTTGGGGGAATAATGTTAATGAGTCTTCTATCCGGGCACTGTCAAAGTCCACATGAACCTAACGTCTTGTTTCGGCGTTTATATATATATATATATATATATATATATATATATATGTCTCAGTGTGTGAGCGGGAGGTCTT